AGAGAGAGAGAGAGAGAGAGAGAGAGAGAGAAGGTTTAGCTTTGCTTTGGACCTTTGAATGGTGTACGTTTGGTTGTTTTTTTCTTTTGCTGTGTCAAAAGGCGGTGCAAATACATGCGATTTTGTAGTGTCTTTGAAGTTTTTGACTATGCTCCCTCTGATACCAGGCTGCAGTGTTATTTACCTGTTCCTGTCCGATAGAATAGGCTAACACTAACAAAGTGCCCCCTGCAGAGACTGCCCACTATTTCGGAACTTCGCTGTGACCGTAAAGATATTTCCAGTAGGGAACGGGACAGAGGGTGCCTACGTCTCTCGTGACTCGTTGGAGCAGTGGAAGATAGAACTAACGCTAATATTACTTAAACTTGACTTAAACGCAATCCCACATCATCACTCATCACCACCATTATTTCTAAAATCATCATTGCTCTCAGGTCAATGACTTATATCTAGATCTATAATCCTGGAATCTCTATCTGTAACAGTTACTTGCAATCGGCTCATTTCAGTCTTCATTGATATATCCTTATTCACAGGCCGGTCGGCATGTTGATGAAAACCTAACTTTTCTGTTGCTCTTTTTAGAGTGATCCTCGCCATGTGGCTCTTTCGTTTACTCCTAAGGTTTAACGACACTGGCAATATCACTCCGAAGGTGGACTACTTCATTTGTCACACACACGACTCGACTTGACACGACACGACACGACACGACACGACACCACATCACACCACACCACACCACATCACACCACACCACAACACACCACACCACAACACACCACACCACACCATACCACACGATACAACACCACAACGCACCACACCATACCACACTATACAACACACAACACACCAATACACACAAATTAAAAAAATTACTGTTTCACGAGAATGATTCAATCATGATTTTTCTAATGCACTAAAAGTGGACTGTTCCTCTCTTACAACAGAAGCGGTTACCCCAAGACACCACAACACTGCCTTCGAGTATCGCGGTCACAACAGTCCTCAAACACGGTACCCCAGGCACCAACGACCCCTCTCCTTTGACGAGAAAGAACTTCAGCTGAACCAAGCCGCCCGTGACCAGAGACCCCGCAGAGACACCAAGTCGGAGCGTCCTCCTGTCATCGTCCCCGACGCCGGCTTACCTCCCGTGACAGACGGCGACAGTCTTCGATCTCAAGAAGACGCCAAACGTTTCCGGGTCAGCCTGGTCCAGGCTTCAGATCTCTATGACCTCGTTGACCTGAGTCTCAAGGACAAAGGGTCACGCGAAAATAGAGCGAGGCTGGCGAACGTGGAAGAAGGAGTTCGCCTTATGGAGGAGATGGAAAGAGCTATTCGACGGAAAAGAGAACACCAGGAGTACTCAACGAGAAAACGATTCGGAAACGACAAACCGTTGAAACCGATTCTATCAGTCTCAGACACCTCTGATTTGCTTATCAGTAAGAGCATCAAAAACGACGTGGCGACAAAGCGAGATAAAAATCGCCAGGACAAAACGAAGCATGAGGAGGTGTACGTGCTGGACGATGACTCGGACACGACAGGACAAAACACGGCCACACGCCAGGAATCGGCACCGCCTACAGCAGACAGCAACCGTTTACCCATAGACGTCTTTCTGCAGCAAGCAGTGTCCACTCATAAAAAGAATATCATGCAACTCAAAGTTCGACCGAAACGCGCAAAACGCATGCAGCTTCACAAGCCTGAGCTTCTGGCTATTCCCGAAGACGGTGGTACGTTTATACGGCCACTGAATGCTCCAACGGATCAAAAGCGGCATGAAATGCTGGTCTCCAACTCCAACGTGCCATTTCCTACCAGCACCTCGCTGACAGCAATAAGAGAAGTCGCCCCTTTCGGCAAAACTCGGGAGGCTTTTCAAGAGCAGTATCCCAACATGGGTAGTCCCCAGAAACAGTCGCCGCGTCATCAGACTATTGGTGGTGATGAACCAGCAGGGGGTAAAAAGTCGCCCCGAAAACCTAAAGGCATTAGAGACCGCGAGACACGGAACACTGACGGCCTTGACATTGATGACCTTCTTCTCACCAGTATCTACCCACCCATGCCATGGGAGGCGGGCGTGGGACGAGACTTGCGCCTACGTCATATGACTGTGGACAAGCCTACGCATAAAGAGCGCGCCCAGAGGAAAATGAAACGTTTGATATTTCTGAGAGATCAGCCGGACCAGAACTACAAACGAGAAATTTGATTTCGTTCTCAGCAAACAGCGGCTACTACACAATCCTAATTTATATACGTATCATATAGCTCTGCGTGTTCTTCTTTGACAGTGTTGAAAGGCTGATGGCACTGTTATTGAGGTCACAATCACACTTGTGTTACCACCACCACCACCACCACCACCACCACCACCATCACCATCATCATCATCATCATCATCATCATCATCATCATCATCATCATCATCATCATCATCATCATCATCATCATCATAACCACCTCTATACAACAGCAGTATTATCTGTATCACTATCATCATCCTCTCTAGAAATATGATGACCCCCATTCACCGTCCAGTTTATGAACATGCGCTGACTCAACTTGAATACTTGAATGTAGAACTGTGGTCATAGGAAGACGACGGGGTGCTCCACGCTTCCTCTCCACTCTTCATAAGGGTCCATTTCAGTGTGGGCAGGCTGATTGACTCCATCATGTTCTGACTTCAGATGGCTTTTGGTACATATAAAAGGAACTGACTTAACCTAGACCGTACGTCCAAAATCAACGTGGATCTCACAGCGCACTGACTTACAGGAACAAATAACAGCTGCCTGTGATCATCGAATTACGCGCAGACATTTGGGGAGGGGGGTATACTTTACTTTCACCTGGCTCTTGTTATGAAATAAAACAGATTGAAACTTTTCTGTGCTTGATCGTCCTATGCCGGCAGGAATGCACGATCTAACCCACAGATACGTGTTGCTAACAGTATAAATAAGATTTAAGGATATTATATCACAATGAGAAATCCTCGCTCTACTCTCGAATTTCACTTTCTTTTACTTCTCATTTATTTAACAGAGCTGTAAAATTTAAAAGAAATGTAAAGTCCCTTGTCAATCTTTATCAATCGCTTCTGTTGGTTAGTTTATGTCATCATTCAACATTTGGAAAACTTCATTTAAGAAGATTTAGCGCTCTGCTCAGCCTACAAAAGATCAAGGGTGAGACAAGTCTTGACACCCAACACAACATTTAAAGAAAATTTTTCGTAGATTTGAACAAAACCTTTAGCATTTCTTCCATAAGGTGCCAATTTTCCATACCATGCTTGCTGAAGCAATATTTACCTGAAATTGGAATACCTTGAGCTGTCATCTCTGACTCAGAGGTTGACGTGTAATGACCCTCCATCCTGCACGGTCGAGAGCTCTCGTTGCACATTCTACTATATCCAGGCCAGCTGTATCTATTACCCTTTTTAATCACAGAGAAATTATTGAAGAGGTGGTCGTTCGTCCTCGGCAGCTCTGCTTAGTTGCCTATCAGAGGGCATTGAAAACGCTTTAGAAACAAGAGGAATTCTTAATGGATTCAAATTCGAAACTTCTTTATTACAGGGCAGCTAGTTTCTGAACCACCATAAATCTCTGAGCCCTCTCCCTTTTCTTCCTTTTCCTTCTCTCTAAGCCTTTCCAAGAAACGTTTTCCCTCCGATGCTCTTCTCCTCACCCTCTGTTCTCCCTGCTCTGAGTATTTATGCTGCTTTCATGTATGCCCACTCTTTGGCTATGAAAATATGTGAGGCAGCGTGGTGGAATCAGGCTCTCGTCAATTTTTGGGCATGTAGAATTATTGGTATCACCTTAAAGCTTGTTCACTCGTCTTTATTTGGATGAAAAAAATGTACATTTATCTTGAATACAAGTCAAGATATTTGCGAAAGAAGGAGGTGGGTGTCACCTGTTTTCAGAAGTAGAATTAGTGAGAAAATGGCTGCCAAAGATTAGTTATTTCCTTAGTTTAAGAGTCCATGGTAACTGAACATTTACATTTTTTGTGCCTTTAGTTAACGTTAAAAAAAAAATCCACACAGAAATGAGTTCTTAAATGGACATGAAAGGTGTTGAGCCAAAAAACAAAAATTTTATGAAAATTCACAAACCTGTGGAAAAATGCAAGTTTTTTCACTTTGATAATTTTGACGAGAGCCTGATTCCACCACGCTGCCTCACATATTACTCTCCCACCTTTATATCTCTTTTCTCAAAGAGTTGGGATTCCCTCTCAATTTCCTGTACAAGGTTTCTGTGCCAAACTTTACGGTCGGGTAACGCCCTCACCTCACACATTTCGGTTTTCGTCACTCTGTGAGGAGGTCGCTCTGAGTCCTGTAATCTATTTTATTTTTCTACGACTTAATTTGTATTTATAAAACTTTTAAATAGAGAATTCCAATTATCTTCTTGCGTCGTCTCTTTTCGGTTTCGAGGGGTTGTCTAAGCAGATCTGTCTGATTAAGGTTTTTGTCCAGCTTCGGAAGGCAAGCAAGAAGAGCCATAAGGAAACAGAGTGTAGGGAAATACGTCATGTATTCTTCTTCTCTTTTTAGATAAGCCGTCGGCCTTGTCCTGGTGTTGGTTTTTCTGTCAGTCGTCTGTGGTCACACCTCCAACTAAATTGATATCAGAACGAGCTACAATAAAAGTGACCTAGGGCATTCTTACTAGGTAACTTCGTCCTTGAATAACGTATGTGAATGACAGGTCGGTCTAAGCCTGAGAGCCCTTAGACTCTTACGGAGGAAATGGTGAATTCTTGCAGGGATCGTAGGCTACAACCACTTTATTACTGTGGGAGTTTCTTAATGATACACTACGTCTCCTTCCCTCCTATCACACACACACACACACACACACACACACGCACACAAACTTACGCACACACACACATACTCACGCGCGCACACACACACACACACACACACACACATACTCTCACACACATATTCACGCACACACATATACACACATATACACACACAGACACACACACACGCACACACACATACTCTCACACACACACACAAACACGCACGTACACACACACACACACACACACACACACACACACACACACACACACACACACTTTTCTTTCTTATCAAGCCTTTTCAGAAAAGAGTTGTCACCGCACTTCATCTTTACTTCGGTACTCCGATGCTCTCAGCGCTTCTGCCCCGGTCACTAAAGCCCACTTTGTAGCTATGAAGATGAAGTGTTACTCTCCCATCTTGTTATCTCTTTCCCAAAGAATTGGGAGTCCCTCTCAATTTCCCGTACAAGATTGTCTGTGCCAAACCTTACGGTCGGGTAACGCCCTCATCTCACACATTTCGGTTTTAGTCTCTCTGTGAGGAGGTCGCTCAAAGTCCTGATGTTTGTCTTATTTTTTCCCTGGATCGTTTGTAACACTTTTCTATAGTAAATTCCAGTGATCTTGCGTCGTCTGTTTTCGGTTTCGACTATTCTTCCGCAGATTCTTTTCGTAGACGTCTCCGACGAAGATAGACCAATTAAAATGCTTTGTGCCTCTAGACCAAGTGAAAAAAGGGTGTAACAGGGGGAAATGCCCCCCTGGTTTAACCCATAATTTGATATTTTGCTGTTAAGTTTAAAATTTTCTTGAAAATAATTGATTTGCGACAGTTTTAGTGGATATATGTATGATCTGCAGCAAATAATACGCAGTTTGACCCCCCAAAGCGGTGCATCTGTGTGCGGGAGTGCGTCTCCGAATAGTTCCTGGGTGCTCGCCGGAGACGTCTCCGAATATCTTCTGCCTATACTTCCAAGCAAAGCTCTTTATGGTTTCTGTTCAGCTTTGGTAGGCGAAAAGGAAGAATGATGAAGCAAAAGAACCTGGTAGACACGTCATGTTGGTATTCTTGCCTTTTTAGAGAGGTTGCAAGCCCAGTTCATCAAGATCACTGCTGATTTTTCTGTGGTTATAACTTAACTAAATGTTAGGCATCGTGGTGAAATCAAGCGCTCGTCAAAATAATGAAATCAAAGACACTGTCATTTTTGTGTCCGTTTTGCATTTTAAATCGGATTTTTGTTTTTTGACTCAACACCTTTAGGGTCCATTTAAAAACACTTTTCTGTGTGGATTGTATTGAAAAATGTTGATTTAAGGCCTGAAATGTAAATTTGCAGTCTCTGCTAAAGACTCTCACGATTTGGAAGCCGCCAAATTTCGGCGGCCATTTTCTCGCTTATTTTATTCTGAAACCAGGTGACCTCCACCTCCTTCAATCGCAAATGTCTCCACTTCTATTAATGATAGATGAGTAATTTTTCCCCTAAAAGCAGGACAAACGAACAAGCTTTAAAATGATACAATAACCCCACATGTCCAAAAATTGACCAGCGGCTGATTCCACCATGTCGTGGCACAAATTTATGTCGTGCCGGGTATCTATGCAAGTGTACCACGGTAGAATCCCTTGTGGGCATTCTTCATTGTCATCTTCTATGCTGCTTTGATCTTCAGGAAATCAACGCTCAATCGGAAGTACTCTCCACCTTGAAGTAATGAAAAAAGTGTTCAGAATCATTATATCGCATTAGAATCCTCAGCCCGTAATAGATTGCCTTTACAAGAGGAGAAAGCTGGGAACATTTTGAGACCTCCTCGCATTTCTCTTTTCGCCCACTGTGAAGAGTTTGTATAAAGGTCTTGTTTCCTGAGTAATCGTTTACTCTCTCATCTTTTTTCAAGACAAAATATATGTATGTGTGATGCCCAAGGTCTTTCTATAGCGTAATTTTTCGATTTTCGGGCGAAAACATAAATGCTAAAGTGTTTTAAGACTACTTTGTGTTTGTTAGGTCGTCCTGTGTTTACCTTTCATGACAGTTAATCAATGAATAATAATAAATTAGACAGCACCTGTGCTAGGCTCTATGCGCTTTACAATCAACGCGAATATTATTTTGTCAGCAGACTGAAATAGTATTCAACTTCGAGGGACGAACAAATGTGAGGCAACGTGGTGGAATCAGGCTCTCGTCAAAATAATCAAAGTGAAGAAACTTGCATTTTTTCCACAGGTTTGTGAATTTGTATCAAATTTTTGTTTTTTGGCTCAACACCTTTCATGCCCATTAAAGAACTCATTTCTGTGTGAATTTTTCTGAAAAACGTTGATCAAAGGCACAAAAAATGTAAATTTTCCTTTACCTCGGACTCTTAAGATAAGGAAATAACTTATCATTGGCGGCCATTTTCTCACTAATTTTACCTCTTAAAACAGGTGACCCCCACCTCCTTCATTTACAAATATCTCAACTCGTATTCAAGATAAATGAATATTTTTTTTATCCAAATAAAGACAAGTGAAAAGGCTTTAAGATGATGCCAATAACTCTACATGCCCAAAAATTGACGAGAGCCTGATTCCACCACGCTGCCTCACAAATTGTTTCTGAGTTAAAATTGTGCGCCCGTACTTACAGAACCGTCTTTCAAGGCTTCTTCACTTGGTGTACATGTATCTCTTGGTTAGTAGGTCTCTCCATTCAAGGAACCAACCCATTTTATGCTAATTCATAACTTCTAGCTGTTGAAAAATGTTTATTTCCCTCGTGGCTTCTGGAATATTTGGTCACTTTTAAGGACAAGCGGTATAACCCAGATTTTGGGGTTTTCCAGAAATCTTGATCGACACCTAAAGTGAGCATTGCCCTATCATTAGTATCAAAAGGAGAACTTTTATTTCAGTGGTGTATAATTTGTTTGGTTATAGACAAAACTCTCCTTGACTTTCAAAGAAACTGAACAAGGCGCAAAAACTTTACCTTCAATTTTCTCAAAACAGCATTTTTCTGGATAGCCCACTTGCGCTTTAACTCATAGAA